CAATTCATTGTCATTTTCGTTTCCCTCTTTTCCAAAATCCAGTAACATAAATTATCCGCAGAGGACTGGCCAGGGCGTTAGTCACTGACAGATAAACTCTTTATTCCAGTACCATTCATTATGGTACTTCAGTTTACAGCCTGAATACTGGGTTGGGTTGAATGGCAGTATAGAAATCATTTCTTATGATGATCTGCTCACAATGTGCTGCTTATATTATATTGTCATGTTCTTTGAAGACGTGTTTTTGAGTTAAGTGTTTTGGACGACGATTAAATGATATTCACGGCTTAAAACCTGGTGCCATTATTTTCTATTGTTGAATCTCCACCTAGGCATTTAGTCGGTTATCTTCTTTTCAGTAATTGTTTTTGTTAAATAGAGCAAGGCTTTGTTGTTGTTGTTGAATGGGAAGAAATGCACCCTGGGAATTCCATTTCTTAGCACTATTTGCAGATACTGCAATATAAGTGATAATACAAATAAGAAATTTATAACGCATTTATAGTGCTGAATCTAATTATCTAAAATAATATATACACGATATTATCATTGTAGGGTAGTGTAGGGCAGTGATAGTAAAATAATACACAATGATATGCCGTACGTAACAACAATAAAAAACTACAAAATGATATACAATATAGAATAAAATATGTAAAATTAAAATTTTAAATACACGCTGTGCAATACGTCAGTTTTTATCATATTGGATTTCAGATTGGATTTCAGATTATGCAAATGTTTTTATCATATTGGATTTCAGATTATGCAAATGTGTTTTTTCTGGTTAATAACTGTTTGTGTTTGTCTTCACTTAAAGAGTATTATTTTCATTGTTGCCAGGGTAACTCCAACGAATAAGGAAATGACATGCATGAACGGAACAGGTGAATTGTCGTCAAGTCAACTTGTTATTACCAGGACACATACGCAACAGTGTGATATAGTAGCTACGATGGTTCAGAGATACGGCTACAAGCACCAGCTTTCTTTCGCTATTGGACAAGACACATCTGTGATTTCCCATGATGAAAAATTCCGTCGCAACATGGGCTCCGTGGTGCCGAGACATCAACCAAAAGCCTTGCAATATACCAAAAAACAGTACAACGTTCTTGCGAGTTACGTGCGTTTCAATAAACCGGAGATTAACGCGGTGGTACCCAACGCTACGTATATCACCGTGATAGTGGAACCGTCCTACCACCTACAGTATGTTTTCAATCTGTACAGCGTGGATAGAAGTTTACATATAAATAAATACAGGAATCCGTTGGAGAAATTCATGGAAACGCCTCAAATGTACATCGATAAAAGGTTCAAATTTTGGTTTCAGCTTCATAACGGTCAGCTCTTTGATTTAGGATTTGATGACTCAGAATACCGACTTGATAGAGTGAAACAAAAAATTGTAGAACTGGAAAGAGAACTCGACTTCGTATTAATCGGGGAATACTTAGATGAATCGCTGGTTGTATTAAAGAAAAAGTTATGCTTGGAATGGAAAGACATTATGTATCTCCCCATACGCAATGTCATTCCAGAAAACAGAAGATACACGACGGAAACCTTAAGAAGACAAATTCTAGACTGGAATGCTGCTGATAGTTTACTATATCAACATTTCAATAAGACATTGTGGATAGAAATTGGGATCTACGGACCGAGTTTCCAATCCGATCTTTTCCATCATAAAACCTCTAAACAAAGATTGTGGGACGATTGTTTGGTGGCACGCTCAGCAGTAAATGACGACATCAAATTAAAACCAAACGCAGGTGATTTCTGTAATTTTTTGTACAGATCGGAAAAAGAACTTTGGAAAGTTCTAGGAAATAAACAGTGATTATTATAGAAACAGTTTATAGATTGTACACACCACTGACAACTTATGCATCTCCTATGACACACCACATAAAAACATATTCTAGGTGTGAAATTAGCAAGTCAAAATAATGTACCTTGTTACTTTTTTTTACTAGATATCACTTTTTAAGCATTTGTTGTACTAGTATTATGTATTTTCGTAAGGGTAAATTGTTGAGATCTAGGTTACACTTACAATATAATTCATTATTTGTATATACTGCGGTATCCTTGGTTACAAGCTTACTGAAGAATATATTAACTTCACAATATGCAAATGAGACAAAAGTC